TTTCTAACTTTGTTTTTGTTATACTTCATTTTTTAATTTAGTATAACTAAAATATTTGATAATGAGCAAACCACAGAGAGAAGTGATTTCCTTACCTAAAGCCTGGTCCAGTTCAATAAGCAGATGAGTGAAGTTTTCCCTCCTAAAGTTACAGTCTGAACGACACAGATCTGATTTTTTTTTCCAATCCCACCCAGGCCACTTGGCTCCGTGGTCCTGAATCCGATACGAATCTGATCTTTTGAAATGCGATCCGCTTCTGAACGGCCATGTCGCATTCATCCCACCTGAACGCTATTAATAGCCGACATTATTCTGCTTCTTGCTACGCAGAAGAGGCAAGAAAAACAACCATGGCGGACCATGATGCAGTATTTATGTTTAACATAATGAAAAGATTTATATTTTACGGTTGGGAAAGATCGCTAGATGAGCTCCGGTAACTACCATCCATGTTCTGGATGGTTCCTCTACTGCGCATGCAGGACACTTGCTTTGTATGAATGCAGTTCACACAGGAGATCACATATAAGTCGTATATATTTGGAAATGTGAACGGCAACGCAAAGAAAATCCGAATTAAGCATTAAGGCCTGCAGGGTAAACGTAGCCTTAGAGTCCATCTGTTTTTCCCAAAACCCAAAGATGCAGTTCCCTGCATCCAGACTGCAGAGTATCCATACAAGGTACCAGAAATTAACAGAGTATACAGGTAACCTTTCCTAAATCGGTATCCAATCAAGTCTTTATACCCTTGGATGCATTTTATTATGATTAATATCTGATTTTTATTATAAAAAGCTATAAATCATCTAAAATTATAAATTTTTTAATGTGGTTCATGTCATGACTTCTATAGATTAACATGAGTGTAGCACATCTGAATAGATGGATTTCATTTCTTTCCCATTTTGTAAGAGTTTCTAAAATCAAATAAAATTCACTAGAGTTTAAAGAAATAGTCGATCTGATGTCATGAAACATTAATACATTTGGGGAAGAATTTATGCTTACTGATTATTACCTTTTGCAACAAATGCAAACAAGCAAAGTTGAAAACATTTGCTTAATTTATGGAACATTTCTAAAATCCAACCACTTTAAACAAAAGGTTGTAAAGCACCTTATATCAAAATGTTATTACTGTGGACAGGAGACATTAAACTGCAGATACTGACCTGTACAACACACCTGTCTCCAGATTCAGAAGTTAACCCCTTAAGTTCGTAGGAGCAAATTCTACCTGAAATTAAATATGTGAGTTAAAGCAAGTACAGCTCCCAAACTATAAATTGGAAATACAATTGTTTGAATTTGTATGACAGCAAGGCATTTTCAGGTGGAACCACTATTTTAAATGCCACCATGTCTGATTTATAGGTGATTAAACAAAAATAAATATATATATATTTAGCCTTGCCAAATTTCTTTTCCAAAATAAACACTGCAAAACACCATGAAACCCCATTTGAATCTCTGGATGAACCCTGAGACCTTATAGATCCACATGTTGACTATAACTCGAAGCATGTTTGTTCCACAAAGGTTTCAATAGACGGAAATGGGATTATGGCACAGTGCCAAAATGGGCCAAATGAATTTTTTTCCAACACATAAAAGGCAATCTGGTCAGACAAATATGCTGATTTACATTATTGAACACCTTCTGCATAAGACAAAGCCTTTGCTCCTAAGATTTAGCCGTCGTTTAATTGAAATTTACCAATAATGTCACTAAACTGAATAGAAAATGAGAATAACAAAGCAAGCTTATGTAACGCATGCCGGTGACCAGAGATGGCAAAAGTACTCACTTTCCGTACTTGAGTAAAAGTACAGATACTTGTGTTAAAAAATACTCTGGTAAAAGTGGAAGCACTGATTAAACTTCTTTACTCAAGTAAAAGTAACAAAGTACAGGCTTGTAAATTTACTTAAAGTATAAAAGTAAAAGTAGAAACCACTGTTTTCATGCCGTTGCCTACATTTTAAATGGATGTCTGCCAATAGGACTAGATCTCCGTTGTGTTCATTTTCAATCATCTCGTCGTCCATGCTACTATGCTAACGCCACCGCCACCAAGCTGCAATGATTTGCCGCGAATGAATACCGCCGAATCTGTCGATTCATCTTGTAGTGGTGCGTCAAATGCAACGTAGATTCCCATCCAATTAGATTGAATTTGGTATTGATGACGTGAAAAATAATAACGGTAACTCCATTGAAATGATTCAAAACTAAAGTAACGAGCCAATTTTTTTAAAATGTAAGGAGTAGAAAGTACAGATATTTGTGTAAAAATGTAAGGAGTAGAAGTAAAAAGTCGCCATAAAAATAAGTAGTAAAGTCAAGTAAAAATATCAGAAAAATCTACTTGAGTACAGTAACGAAGTATTTGTACTTCGTTACTTCCCATCTCTGCCTGTGACATCACCTGAAATCATCAAAACAGTTACCTACGACCCCTCCTTGGAAAGATCTGAGCCTCTAGTTTCCAATGATACCGGCCATTAGGGGGCGGGGCTAAAAATGAATACCCGCTGTTGCATTACTCAAGCAGACACACATGTTAGGTGGAATTTTATTTGTTTACACAGCTATAAAACGGAAATTTTAAAGCCCCATTTAAAAGGCGTGTGGATGAAACACCATGTGACTGTGTTTCGGCCATTTCTATAAATATATAGGCAAGGCAAGGCAAATTTATTTGTATAGCACAATTCAGTACAAAGACAATGCAAAGTGCTTTACATGATTAAAATATAGGAAGATAAAACAGAATCAAAGCAAGTAGGAAAAAAAAACAAAATAAATAAATAAAAAATAAGTAAATAAAATAAAATAAAAAATGCAGAAACAAAAAAAGAATAATAAAAAAAGTAGGATTAAAGAAAATATGTTGTAGTAGAACTGTTTAACTAGAACAGTCGAAGGCAATATAAATATATAAATATATATATATATATATATATAAATATAAACATCATATAAACATATAATATAAACATCAGCTGGTGTCAGCTGGGCCAGGCTCAAGAGGTTGAAGATAGGTGACATCAGCTGGAGTATTAATCACTCTCCTGATTCCTTTCAGAGTCAAATCTTTGTCGGCTCTTTTTAATGTGAAATAAACATTGTTAGCTGCGATAAAACTAGTAATACCTCCAAATAATTCATAAATATTGCCTCTGCTCATGTAGATATGGAAGGCTCACAAGTGTAATTCAATATTATACACAAAATGACTAAAAATGAAAGTGGAATAAATCCCTGCTAGGTGATTTATGAATTCCTTCCATTATTTTTAATTAAAATCTCCTCAACAGGGCAAGCTCAGACAGGATGCGTCATATTTATTACAGGGGTGTCATGTGCTCCCCTTGTTCTCTCTGTTCCTGCAGTGTTGGAATGCATTAGCCAGCATAGATGTCAACAACCATTGAAAGCCCCTCATTGAGATTAGTGTGGCAGCAGTACATTTTATTCATGGCTTTTAACATCTATTCTCTGTTTTCCGACAGATTAGCTGGAGCATAAATAATTTACAGGAAAGTTTTTACTGGTGCAGATAGTAAAATATGGCAAACACTGAGGGAGCATAACTAAGATTTTCTGCAGCCTGCTGTTTTGAGATGCTGCCTAATGATGTATTTTTCAGCTCCAAGTCTGGAGTAAAAACTCCATCTGCCCGGTTAGTCATCAAGTGTTGCTTTTTCTATGAGAACATAAAACAGATACAAAAACAGGATATACAGTTAATACCGACATTATGGGACCTTCCTCTTCCTGTTCAAATGGATGGTGATTACCTATGTGGCTCCTGTTCTCTTATGTTTGTATGTTAGAGCCTCCCTGTTCAGTCCAGTTTATCTGTTTGGTATGCGTGTTTTTGTGGATTTAATTACTTGTTTGACTGCAGTGCCTTGCAAAAGTATTCATAACCCTTGAATTTTTCCAATAAGGTCCCTGATTTACTAAGATTCTGCATATATATTTGCATAAAATCTTACAGTGATTGATTTCATAAATATGTGGGAAAGATGCTGATCATCAGAATGCTGTAAAATACTGGGAGTAAAATGTGCAAATGTGATTTTCTTCTTCTTTTTTTTGTTTATCAGCCACAATATGATTTAACCAACCCAAAACAGATGTTTACAGTTACTGTACTTTCTTTTTTTAAACGTTAAGCATTTTTGAAAGTCAGGTGCAAACTTTCGCATAAACAAATCTGTGGTCACTATGGTGAAAGGGAGGCACAGGTGTAATGAGGGACAGAAGAGGGTGTTCATTGCGCTTGTCACCATATTTGGACTTGGAGAATTATAATAGTAGAGACATATTATCTATTTAGCAATTCCATTTCTGGAAAATGGTCATTGCAACATTTTTTTTTATTTTATGGTTTCCTGTCTAGCAAGTATAGAGGAAGGGAGTTATAGTTATATAAAATACCTTACAGCAATAATGTATTTTTGGGTGAATAAAGAGAAACATACTTTTAGAGTTTGGTCTTAGAAACATGTTATAAATTATCATGTTGCATTTAATTTTTCTTTAGAATTATGCAATACTTTGAGTAATCATGTAAATTCCAATAAAATGCACTAAAGCTTTTGGTTTTAACACCAAAAAAATAGGATCAATTAAGGGAAAATTATACATTTGCAAGGCACTTACTGTTAACTGATTATTCTGACTGCATGTAAATGTATTGAATTTTGATCCATAATTGTTAAGAGTAAGACAGCATGTTTTGTAAATTGAAAAAAAAATAAAATATATATATATATATATATATATATATATATATATATATATATATATATATATATATATATATATATATATATATATATATATATATATATATATATAATACATAATATATATATATATGTGTGTGTGTAATGTTTAGTCATATATTGTACCACTTTTGTTCCAATGTTCTCTCTCACATCTGGCCTCTGGCCCTTCTCCCTGCTCCTCTTCCCTCCAGGACAAGACGAGTGCTCTTAGCCTCAGCAATGTGGCAGGCGTCTTCTACATCCTGATTGGAGGCTTGGGTCTAGCCATGCTCGTGGCACTGGTGGAGTTCTGCTACAAATCGCGGACCGAGTCCCACCGAATGAAGGTGTCGACCGCGCGAGCCGCGGCAGCCACAGCCGCTCAGGCCTTTCACTGCTCAGCCTTAGAAAGTGGTGCTAGCGCCCCCTACACTGAGCTGCAGGGCTACGGCCTGTACGCCAACAACACTGTTAAGATATAAGGGCAGAGCACAGCCATGGGGTAGGAAACGCTGCGATCAAACAATGATGATGATGATGATGATGCGTCTGCCTCCACCCCGTCCTGCCCATCTAACCGTGACCACAATAGGGCCGTTCACGGCTTCCACCGCAGTGCCAACGCTGTCCTCTACCTCTCTCTACCTCTGCCGCTGCCTTACTCAGTCTTTGTTACCGACTTTCTCCGGTGCTTTTTAATCACTTGATTTCAAAATTGCCTTTATGCCTGTTTTCTTTAGGGTCTGCAAATATTTTTATGTCTTCTCTTAAAATTTGATGGTTTCATCTGGGCTAATCCATATTATTTTAGTACCTGCTCAATAAGAGAGAAAACGCTTCTTCGTCCCATGACCTGACTCAGTACAGATATGTGATGTAATTTTTGGTTGTTAATAAGCTTATAACTAAGGAAGCCGAGAGCGGTCGTACTCGACTTTTTTTTTTCTTTTGCCTTCTCAAGATAATGACAAAACTATCTCGTTATCACGGTTAAACCATGAATTGTTTTCTCATTATCTTATCAGGAGAAAACGGTTATTGATTTCTTGAGATAACAAGTTAATTAACCTGTATGAGTAAAGAATGAGGCTGGCCAACAGCCCTGGATTCCCAGTCCATCCATGCCTGCGGGGCCCCTAGTTGTGCAGTCGTGGTACCGTGTGTGCGCAGATAATCAGTTTTTTTAGTTTCCTCTTTCTTTTCACTCATTTTCAGGTCGTAGTGGTTGATTGGTTTCATTACATACAGTAGACATTTCTGCTCAGAACTTTTATGGAAAGAATTGTTAGGCACAGCCAAGCTGTTGAAGGGATCCGTTTTGGTGGCCTTAGGATCGCGTCTCTGTTATTTATAGATGATGTGGTTCTATTGGCTTCATCAGGGCGCCATCTACAGCTCTCACTGGAGCGGTTCACAGCCAAGTATGAAGCGGCCGGGATGAGAATCAGTGCCAACAAATCCGAGACCATGGTCTTGAGCCGGAAAAGGGTAGAGTGCCTTCTCCGGGTTGGGGAGGATGTACTGCCCCTAGTGGAGGAGTTAAAGTATCTTGGGGTCTTGTTCACGAATGAGGGGAAGATGAAGCGGGAGATCTCGATCTCAGAAAGACCTGAGCCAAAAAGCAAAGCTCTCGATTTACCGGTCGATCTACGTTCCTAACCTCATCTATGGTCTTTGGGTCATGACCGAAAGAACGAGATCCCGGATACAAGCGGCTGAAAATATTTTTCTCCGTAGTGTGTCTGGATTCTCCCTTAGAGATAGGGTGAGGAGCCAGTTGAGGTGGCTCGGGCATCTGGTTAGGATGCTTCCTGGACGTCTCCCTGGTGTTCCAGGCACGTCCCACCTGGAGGAGGTCCAGGGGGAGACCCAGGACACGCTGGAGGGACTATGTTTCTCAGCTGGCCTGGGAGCGCCTTGGGATTCCCCCAGAGGAGCTGGACCAAGTGGCTGGGGAGAGGGACGTCTTCTATCTAGACTCATTTAGACTCATATTTTCTACCTGTTAAAGGCGTAACATCGGGGCTGTTCAGAAAACACCCGACACTAAGGCGCCGGAGGCATAGGTCTATTTGCTTATGAATCAGAAGTGGAAGCAAATCATCAAACCACCAACGTCATCTTGTTATCTAAAAGTTAAAAACAGGATTATTCACAGAATTACACATAGACTGCCATGACTTATAAATCCTCTCCCGCTGTTGTGGTATTGAAGGATGTAATCAGTTTTAACACACACCAATCATCTCGTTATGATGAGAAATCGGCTTTTGTTATCTTTAGATAATGAGAAAATTAACTCGTTTTCTCGAGAAGGCATGAAAAAGTATTAAAGGGACACGACCGTTCTTGGCTTCCGTATTTAACAGTGACTTAGATACAAAAAAAAAAGAGCAAATCCCTACAACAGAGTCATTGACAGGACTATTTCGTTATAGTGTTGTGCAAACAATCATGTTCACCATACTTTCAATTTAAGTTCAACCTGTATTGTTACCGTATTTTCACGACTATAAGGCGCACTTAAACGTCTTTTTTTCCCCTCAAAATGTGCGGTGCGCCCTATGGTGCGGTGCGCCCTATGTGTGTTGTAACTGCGACTTTTGAGACCACCTCATTGAGGAGATGATGAAAGAGTGGCTGAATGTCAGGAGACCAGGTGTTTTTTTTCCACTCATCACCATCGCTGTTAATATGTGACTCCATGCGTGCCCATCTCACAGCTGATGTGAAAAACATGGGGAAACAAATTAACGCTGTGCTCGCTGTTCAACCGCTCGACATCGGTGTGAACCGGACCCAGCAGGTGCAGCAGAAGTAGCGAGTTTACATGCAAAGTCAATGGTTGACGCGCATATAGGTGCAGTAAAAGGTCCTGCAGCGCATTTTGGTGCAGCACGTCGGGAGCGTTTAAGCATCTGACGCACCGCCAACGCGCTGCTGCTGCTCAGATGGAGAAATTGAAGTTTTGCTGCTGGACGCGCCGCATCAACCAATCAGAGAAGCTGATCTGGGAGCTGACAGCGAGACACAGCGCTCTGATGATATTAACGCAAATGAAAAGGCTGGATGAATGAGGAGATGATGAAAGGCAGGTGTATGTGAGGAGACCAGGTGCTTTTTTCCACGCATCACCATCGCTGCGTGCCCATTTCACAGCCGATGTGAAAAAAAGATGAATCAAATGAACGCTGTGCTCGCCGTTATCCCGGGGGTCTGACAAAGGAACTTCCACCGCTCGACATCGGTGTGACGCGCCCGTTCAAAGTAAGGCTGCGAGCGGCGTGGGAGCGATGGATGACAGACTGAGACCACAGTTTCATGATAAATGGAAGGCAGCGCCGGGCAGATTACGCCACCGTTTGCGGATGGATTGTAGATGGACTGTGTCTGCTGGCTCTGTTGTTCAAGCTTTCGCAAAAGCCGGCATTATTTCTGAGGAGCTGCGCTGCACGGAAAGTGACTCTGACAGCGCAGAAGGGGAAACTGGCATGTCTGATTTAGCGCAGCTGTTTTATTCAGAGGAATGCTGAGGATAACAGAGGATGATGACTTTGATGGGTTTAAGGCGAATGAAAAAGGCTGGATGGACGAGGGGATGATGAAAGCTTGGCTGAGGGAGGTGTATGTAAGGAGACCAGGTGGTTTTTTCCACGCATCTCCATCTCTGTTAATTTGTGATTCCATGCGTGCCCATCTCACAGCCGATGTGAAAAAAAAGGTCAAAGAAATGGACGCTGTGCTTGCTGTTATTCCGGGAGGTCTGACAAAGGAGCTTCAACCGCTCGACATCGGTGTGAACCGCCCGTTCAAAGTAAGGCTGCGAGCGGCGTGGGAGCGATGGATGACAGACGGAGACCACAGTTCCATGAAAAGTGGAAGGCAGCGCCGGGCAAGTTACGCCACCGTTTGCGGATGGATTGTAGATGCTTGGACTAACGTTTCTGCTGGGACTGTTGTTCGAGCTTTTGCAAAAGCCGGCATCATTTCCGAGGAGCCGCCCGGCACGGAAAGTGACTCTGACAGCGAAGAAGAAGGGGAAACCGGCATGTCGGATTTAGCGCAGCTGTTTAATTCCGAAACAGAGGATGAGGACTTTGATGGGTTTGATTAATACTTTTTAATAAATACTTGAATAAAGCACAATCATACTCAGTTTTGCTCCCGCTCTATTTTTCTACCTAAAAAACTTAATTCAACAGCCGCCTCTGGGCCGCAGCGCATCCGGACTCACCTCCGCAGGTGTTTTTTCATCTAAATAATCTAAATCTTTTTAAGTGAGAAAGTCCACCGGAAAATTTAATCATTACAGTCAGTTCATCCAGATTATTATCCTGCCTATGTTTTAAGTTAATTTATGCGTGAATAAACGAAGAAGAAGGGGGAACTGGCATGTCGGATTTAGCGCAGCTGTTTAATTCAGAAACAGAGGATGAGGACTTTGAGGGGTTTGATTAATACTTTGTAATAAATACTTGAATAAAGCACAATCATACTCAGTTTTGCTCCCGCTCTATTTTTCTACCTGAAAACTTAATTCAACAGCAGCCTCTGGGCCGCGGCGCATCCGGACTCACCTCAGCAGGTGTTTTTTCATCTAAATAATTTAAATCTTTTTAAGTGAGAAAGTCCACCTGAAAATTTAATCATTGCAGTCAGTTCATCCAGATTATTATCCTGCCTATTTTTTAAGTTAATTTATGCGTCAATAAACTGTATCAGAGGAGTAATCACAGCCCTGTGTCATCAGCGATGTGTCTCTCACGGCAGGTTCCCAGGTTTTAATAATACTTTGTAATAAATACACCTTGCAGCTTTATTTGCTGTGATCAGTGGGAATAAAGTAGTTTTAATATGTTTTTAAGTGAGAAAATCCACCTGAGAGGACATGTACCTGTATATAAAAAACGCGCCCTATAGTCCGGTGCTCCTTATGTGTGTGTTAAATACAGAAATGGCACACATAACTGAGAGTGCGCCTTTTAGTCCGGTGCGCCTTATGGTCGTGAAAATACGGTATATTTAGTGTAAAAATAGTTATTCCAGCTTTCATGTACAACATAACGTAAAAACATGGTAAGACAAAAAGTAGCATAGTGTGACTTGCATAGTATTACCATGTTATTACATGATTATTGATGTACTGTAAAAGACAGCGTTAACAAAATACTTTAGAGGGAAAAAAAACTACTAGTTATATTGATGAGACAAAAAGTCTTGTTGATTGAACTTAAAAAACAAAGAAATCAAAGATGACCTCTGACTTTTCAGCACTGCTTATTAGATTAAAGTTTCATCCCGCTGGTTTGGAGGGATGTCAACAAGACAGATTGATTTGGGCTATAAA